ATTTCTATGAACTAGACATTTTTTAAGTTTCCACATGTAAATGGTGCTATTTAGTATTTGTCTCTGTCTGGCATATTTCACTTATAATAATGCCCTCCAGGTTCAGGTTCATCCATGTTATTGGAAGTTATAGAATTTCCTTCTTTTTTAAGGCTGAATAATATTCATGTGTGTGTGTGCATGTGTGTGTGTGACATTTCTTGATCCATTCATTCATCTACAGACACTTAGGTTGTTTTCATACTTTGTCTATTGTGAACAATGATGCAACGAATATGGGAGTGCAGATATCACTTCTAGATAATTTTTTTTTTCCTTTGGATATATACCCACAAGTGGGATTGCTGGATCATATAATAATTCTATATTTAATTTATTGAGGAACCTCCACACTGTTTACCATAATGGTTATACCAGATTACATCCCCACCAACCATGCACAAAGGTTCCCTTTTCTCCACATCCTTGCCAGCATTTGTTTTCTCTTGTCTTTTTTGATAATAGCTATCCTAACATGTATGAGATGATATCTCGTGGTGGTTTTTGTTTGCATTTTCCTGATGATGAGTGATGTGGAGCATGTTTTCATGTACATGTTGGCCATTTGTATATCTTATTTGGAAAAATGTCCATTTAAGTCCTTCGCTATTTTATAATTGGGCTTTTTTCTTTTTTGCTATTGAATTATATGAATTCCTTGTATATTTTGGATATAACCCCTTATTGGACATATAGTTTGAAAATATTTTATCTCAGTCAATAGGTTGCCTTTTCATTTTGTTGAAGGTTCCCTTTGCTGATCACAGGCTTTTTAGTTTGATGTAGTCCCATTTAAAAATTATTGCTTATGCTGTCTTTGTTTTGCTATCAAATCCAAAAAATCATTTCTAAGAACAATGCTAAGGAGTTTATCCTTGATATTTCTTTTTAGGAGTTGTACTGTTTCAGGTCTTACACACAGTCTTTAATCCATATTGAGTTGATTTTTGTGTATGGTGTAAGGTGTTCAGTTTCATTGTTTTGTATGTAGCAATTCAGTTTTACCAATTTCATTTGTTGAAAAGACTGTCCTTCCCTCATTGTTATTTTTGGTTCCTTTGTTGAAAATTAATTACCATATATGCACACGTTGATTTCGGGCTCTCTGTTCTGTTCCATTGATCTATGTATCTATTCTGCCAGTACTATAGTGTTTGATTACTTTAGCTTTATAATATAGTTTAAAATCAGGAAGTGTGATGCTTCCAGCTTTGTTCTTCTTTCTCAAGATTACATTGGATATTTGGTCTTGTACAAATTTTAGGATTTTTTTTTCTATTTTTGTGAAAAATTCCATTGGAATTTTTATGGGTATTATAATGAATTTTTAGATTATATGGACAATTTTTAAATAGCATGGACATTTTAACAGGATTAGTTTTTCGAGTCCGTGAGCATGGAATATCTTTCCATTCATTTGTGTCTTCTTCAATTTCTTTCATCAGTGTCTTTTGTTTTCAGCATATAGATCTTTCACCTCCTTAGTTAAATTTATTTCTAAGTACATATTTCATTCTTTGTGATGCTATTTTATTTATTTATTTATTTATTTTGCGGTACGCAGGCCTCTCACTGCTGTGGCCTCTCCCGTTGCGGAGCACAGGCTCCGGACGCGCAGGCTCAGCGGCCATGGCTCACGGGCCCAGCCGCTCCACGGCATGTGGGAGCTTCCCGGACCAGGGCACGAACCTGTGTCCCCTGCGTCGGCAGGCGGACTCTCAACCACTGCGCCACCAGGGAAGCCCTGTGATGGTATTTTAAAAGGGCTTATTTAATTAATTTTCTTTCAGATAGATTGTTGTTAGTGTATAGAAACACAACTGATTTTTTTATATTGATTTTATATCCTGCAACTTTACTGAATTGGTTTATTAGTTCTAACATTTTTAGGGTGGTGAAGTCTTTGGGGTTTCTATATAATATAGAATAATATAATAATATCATGTAATCTGCAAATAGAGCAGTTTTACTTCTTCCTTTCTAATTTGAATGCCTTTTATTTCTTTTTCTTGTCTGATTGCTCCAGATAGGACTTCCAATACTGTGTTGAATAAAAGTGGTGAGAATGGGCATCCTTGTCTTGCTCCTGATATTAGAAGAAAAGCTTTCAGCTTTTCACTATTGTGTATGATGTTAGCTGTGGACTTGTGATATACAGCCTTTATTACGTTGAGGTATATTCTCTTTATACCCAATTTCTTGAGAGTTTTTATCATGAAAAGATATTTTGTCAAATGCTTTTTTGCATCTATCCAGATAATCATATGATTTTTATCTTTCGTTTTGTTAATGTGTATAACACTGATTGATTTGTAGATTTGAACCATCCTTACATCTCTGGAAAGTCCCACCTGATCATGCTGTATGATCCTTTCTAATATACTGCTGAATTAGCTTTTCTAATATTTCACTGAGTATTTTTACATCACTGTTCATCAAGGATATTGGCCTCTAATTTTGTTTTCATGTAGTATCCTTGTCTGGCTTTGGTATCACATTATACTGGCCTCATAAAATGGGTTGGAAGTGTTTTCTCCTCTTCTGTTTAGTGGAAGAGTTTGAGAAGGATTGGTATTAATTCTTCTGTTGATTTTCTAGAAGCCATCTGGTCTTGGACTTTTGTTTTTGGGAGATTTTTGATTACTTATTCAATTTCATTACTAGTAATCAGTCTATTCACATTTTCTATTTCTTCCTGATTCAGTCTCGGTAGGTTGTATGTTTCTAGGAATTTATTCATTTCTTCTGGGTTTTACAGTTTGTTGGTTTATAGTTGTTCATAATCGGCTTTTATGATCCTTTGTATTTCTGTACTATTAGTTGTAATGTCTCCTTTTTCATTTATAATTTTATTAATTTGAGTCCTCTCTCTTTTGGTAAGTCTAGCTAAATGTTTATCTTTTTAAGAAATCAGTTTTTAGTTTCTTTGATCTTTTCTATTGTCATTTTAGTTTCTGTTGTATTTATTTACACTCTGATCTTTGTTATTTTCTTCCTTCTACTAACTTTTGGCTTAGTTTATATCTCTTTTTCTAATTACACCTCAGGTGTAAAGTTAGGTTGGTTTATTGATCTCACCTTCTTAGAACTGTCTTTGTTGCATCCCATACGTGTTGGTATGTTGTATTTCCCTTTTCATTTGTGTCAGGCTATTTTTTGACTTCCCATCTGTTTTTTTCCTTTGACCCATTGCTTGCTCAGGAGCCTGTTAATCTCCACATATTTGTGAATTTTCCAGTTTTCTTCTTGCAGTGGATTTTTGCTATTTACTGGACATGCCAAGTATAATCCCTTCTCAGAACCTTTGCCCTGTTACCATTGCTTGAAATACTCTTTTTCCAGATATCCCATAAATGGTTCCCTCACTTTCTATCTATTGATAAATACCATCCTTTCTCCTCACCTCTCCCATTATTACTCTCTCTGACATATCAATCAGTCAATCAATCATATATTTTCATCTCCTTATCTTGAACAACACTGCCCTATACAATTTTCTGTGATGATGGTAATATTCTATATCTGCAGCATCCAATAAAGTAGCCACTAGCCATAATGTGACTATTAAGTATTTGAATGTGACTGTCTAATTTTATTTAATTTAAGTAGCTACATGTGACTAGTGACTCTTTATTGTATAGTGCAGGTATGGAATGTATGAGAAAGGGAGGCTTTTTTTTTTTTTCTTTTTTTTTTTTTGCGGTACGCGGGCCTCTCACTGCTGTGGCCTTTTTTTTTTTCTTTGATGCATCCCGGTAGCTATGTGCATGTAGGTACTCTGTGTAGTAGATATTCTGTAAATAGCTGTTGAATAAATAGATGAACAGTGATACCCATCAATCCGGTTTATCTCTGAATTCTTAACTCTTTTAATCTATAATTGCGGACTGAACACTTTTTAGCCATCTCCAGACATTCCCAAACTTTAGGTGTTCAGCAATGGTCCTGTAGGTCCATGGGATCTCCTCACAAAGTTCTGCATTATACATCAAAGATCCTAAATTGTATAAATTATATAAATTAGACTGAAGCATACTGGGCAATATGGGTTACAGATAAAGGAAAATGCAAGGTGTAGGAGGTGGTCTTCTCTATCACAGAGTTCATATTTGGTGAAAGTATTAATTGAATGAATCTTTTCCTTTTGTGTTCTAGCCAGGCATCCATGTGAGTCATGCTTTTCCCAAGACTAAAGAGCCCCAAATCTTTCCCTTTGCTCTCTTTATTCTCCCAAATAAGAGCTCTTTCAGCTATCCCTGAATATAGTACCCATCATGAAGTTTGAAGAACCATACAATAAGCTGCTCCCACTAGCCCATTCTTATGACAAAATCCTCATGGCTGTTATCCTTATGAAAAAGTTCTTATGGTTGAAAATCCTCATTGCCACACTCCATAATAATAATTACAGTTTTGGAGATGGGCTTGGCAGTTAGATGCATTTAAAACTTAAAAACAAAAGTAGAATTTAAAAGAAAGTTTGAATAACACAAATGTTGGGTCATTGGTTTTCAATTCCAGTGGAGCTTCCATGGAGCTTCCTTCAGGAATTGATACCAAGACCTCAACTCACTCATACTGCCCATCCCCAACATTTCTTCAGCCATGTTTTATGTGTATGTGCCATTGTGCAAAATTATTTTATTTGTCAAAGGGCTCAACTTTGAAAAGTTTGCAAATCACTGCATCTAGCCCTTCATTTATTGATTACCTCAGTAAGACTTTTGAAAGAAGCCAGAGGGCAGTGAGTTCAATGTTGAATTTTCTGACAAAAGGGTAATCAATGTCGCTGGTTCAAAGGTCATGTATTTGGTTTGGATGCAAGGAGCACAAGTAATGAGATTGGTATTATTATGAAAAATTGGTGAGTAGGACATGTGTTCCTATAGGGTCTTATAGGCAGGGGCTCAAAAAGTAGTTTTGGTTTCTTTAAATTAAGCAAAGCTTGTTTTTGTAAGCAGCAGGAAAACAGAGATCCACAGCAAGCTTTTCGATTATGGCTTAAAAAAAAGCACGAAGAACAGTTGAAAGAAAGAAAGACAGAAGAACTGCGAAAGCAAGAGGAATGCTTATTCTTCCTTAAAGGAACAGAAGGCCGTGAAAGGGCCTTTAAACAGTAAGTCAAAGACAGGGCATTTTTCCCCCTTCCTCATGGTCATTTTAGAAAGTTATATAGTCAATAAAACTTAAAAAAATTGATCTCATTACATACCTATTCAATTTTAAAGCCGCAGTTTTAACAATATGTGAGAAAATTCTTTAACTCCATACTTTGCGTAATACCTATACCATTTTTTCAAGGTAGTTTTCGATACTAAAATTGTTTCTTATGGCACCAGTGTGATAACCTTTGATAGCTTACCATTGATTGGTTGATTGATTTGTTCATTTCTTAGAGAAATAGGCCAAAGATTGGTTACAGCTTCTCCTACACAGTCCTCAGGAAAACTTAATAAAGAGTTGCATTTACCAATAAATATTTTTCTGTAAAGAAAAGCAGTCAGGCTGAGGAGGAAGATCTGTACAGACCAAATGAAAAGGAGATTTGGACACATATTTTGGTAATTTAAGGCAAACCTGGTCTCCCTTCAGTTGCCTGGGTAAGAGTCTATATCACCCGGTTTATTCTGAGGAAACAGACCTGGCTTCAAAATTTTGCCAGCATACCTTGGGAGAGGGAGTGAATATTGTGTCCAGTTGTTTGAAGCTCACTTCTTTCTTTCTTTTCTATCTTTTTTGCTATCTTTCTCTTTTTTAGTTTCTTTGCCTCTTTCTTTCCTTTCCTTCTTTAAAAAATATACATATCCTTTTATTATAATAGATGCAGTGAATGTGCATTGTGGAAATGGAGGGGAATAAACTCACATTTTCATCACCCAGGAATCACTATTGTTAGCACTGTACTGCATAACTTCTAGATATTTCTCTGTACATATATTTACAGTTTTAAAATATAAATTGAGATCATACTGTATATACTGTTCTGCAATCTGCTTATTTTTGTTAATGATCTCATCTAATATCCAACCTATAACCATTTTTTTTCCCAATCGACCCCTAAATGACTACAGTTAATTTGCTCAAACTGATATCCAATTTCAAAACCACACAACATTAGATTATGAGGTTTCTAAAGTCTCTTTTATACTAATGCAGTTATTTATTTGTCTGGATTTATTTCTGAAAAAATTATATATATACACACACACCACGTACACACTTCCATACCAGAGATGTGAGTATACAGTTATTTTTAATGTTATTTTACCTAAGCAAGTTTTATAGACTTAAATTTGTTAGAATGTGGACGCTTCCTTCACCCTTTTTGATGTTTCTTATGCTTAGGCTTATTTTTCCATTTTAAGGGAGAACTATTTTACGCACTGAAAAGCAAGCGCTCTATAATTTCTCCACCAAGAAGAGCAAGGAGACATTTATGCATGCTGGTATTCTGCATGCTGCTTAAGTAATGTTGTAGAATACAGTTAGTTGCAAAAAATAAGTTATTTGGCATCTATCAAATACTTATTTGCTTAGAAAATCATATTTTAAAAGATAGGACCTATGTCACGTAAAATAGTGTTTATTACTTAAAAAAGTTTTTTTAGTTGGCAGTTTCCTTATTAGACAAACTTAATTTCAAACATTTGATTCTAAATGTGACTATGCTTCCTTGTATGAGCCTTTGGTATAAGCCTGAAATTTTTCAGTTCATACTAATTTGTGTTATGAACAGAGCGTTTTAATCTAAAGAAATCGAATTTCCTTTGTCTGTAGTAATAACTTTATAGCGTGAAGAATATATTCAGGTTGGTACTCAACAGGTCTGTTCATGTCTTTTTCTACAGATGGCTAAGAAGGAAACGGATAGAAAAACTAGCAGAGCAGCAAGCTGTCAAAGAAAGAACTAGACAGCTCCGACTGGAAGCAAAGCGTTCTAAACAGTTACAGTACCACCTATATAATATGTCAGAAGCCAAATCTTTTCGTTTTACTGATCATTACAGCTGAAGGTATCTATTAAATACTTCATTTGGAAGCTACTGTCCTCAAAATTTTGGATATCATTTCTTATGGCCGGTGTGCTTTGGTCATACTCTAAATTATGGAAATGCTATTTATCTTTTGGTAATGTTGATAGTGAATTTATCTTATTTCTTTTAAACTAGAGCAAAATAAATTTCTTCCGTCATAGCATTGTAATGTGTTATACCACCTCTTAGTCCATGCAAAAAATTGAACAACAAATAAACTGTACATTCCTTTACTTCTAAATTATTTTAACATGTCTAGCTGGAACAGACACATAAAAGGGACAGATATCTATTATTAGTTTCTGTTATCATTTTAAAAAAAATGCAATAGAACATTTCATAAGGCAGGAGGAGTGACCTCTTAAACAAGCCTGGTTCAAGGCCTGATACAAAGTCCTAATTATGTCAGATTTGAATTTGAATACCTATGGCAAGCTAAACCGTAGGTTAGGCCTACTTCCACGTGATCTTTAAAAAAAAAAAGATAGTAACAATTATGTATACTATTTTGGGTATGTTATACAAAATTATCCAGCTCTTATTGAGAGTTTATATAATGTGCCTGGTATTGTTGTAAATGCTTTGCGTAAATAATTTGATCTAATCCTTATAACAACCCTGTTAGTCTTGTTTTGCAGATGAGGAAACCAAAGTACAGAGGTGAGCAGTTTGCTCACAGATACTGAGATCTGAATGATTGCAAAATCCTTTCTGTTAGTTATATTGTAAAGCTTACATACCTTGGTAGACATCTGTGGGTATATAGGACTATACAGGAATCCAGTGTGTGGGAGAACAGTATCCTTGATATGTGTAAGAGCACTTAAGGACTGGAGGACAAAGGCAAACATACAAGTGTGATGGGGAGTGGAGAACTGCTGTAAGAGTTCTGTTAAAGCTTCAAAAGACAAGGTTCTTATCAACTGGGTATTTGTACCTTAATCACTTGACCGTAAATTAGAAAACACAGAGAACTATTCAATCCTGTCTCAACTTCCTATAGCACTTTTGAGCATACACCAGGCAACTTAACATTTCATTATAAATAGTCTTTTGTTGTTTAAAGTTTATCCTTAATGATAAAAACCAATTTGGCATTTAAATATTCCACAACACTTTTACAAAAAAAGCTGTTGGAATTTTCATAAGGATTGCAGTGAATCTGTAGATGGCTTTAGGTACTATTGCCACCTTAATGATATTGTCTTCTAATCCATAAACACAGGATGTCTTTTCATTTAGTGCAGCAATGTTTTATAGTTTTCAGTGTACAAATCTTTCACCTACCTGGTTAATTTTATTCATAGATATTTATTCTTTTGGATTCTATTGCAAATGGAATTGTTTTCTTAATTTTCTTTATGGGTTGTATACTCAAAACACAAACATAGGTGATTTTTGTGCATTGATATTATACCCTACAACTTTGTTGAATTTGTTTATTAGTGCTAAACTTTTTTGGTGATTTTTTTTTTTTGCATTTTCTCTATATAGGATAATATTTTCAAATAGGGGTAGTTTTACTTCTTCCTATCCAACGGGATGCCTTTTATTTATTTATTTTTGTTGACTGATTACTCTGGCTAACATGTCTAGTATAATGTAGAGTAGTAGTAGTGAAAGTGGGCACCCTTGTCTTTTTTTTCCCCACAGTTTAATTGCTTTATGCATTTATTAGCTAATATTAATGCAGCAGAGGGGACAAAAGCTCACGAACACTCCACATATTTCACAAGACGCATTGCAGGAAACAAAGTGACTAAGAAGGATCAATAGTATCCTAGGGTCTTGCTGGACGCATTTCTGGGGGAGGTGGACCTCTTATTTCTGGTGGAGGGGGGTCTCATTCCTGGAGGGGGCATGCCTATTGGCATCCCTCAAGTAGGGGGAAGCCCAGTTGGTGGGCCCATGGGTGATCGTATACCAGGTGGAAGAGCCGTAATTCCTAGAGGTGGGGTTGCTCGACCAACAGGCGTGGGGGCAGTCCCCCATCCTGGTGGATATTGAGCTGGGGCTCCAGCAATGCTGGCAGTAGCAGCAACTGCAGCAACTGCTACGGTGCCTCTTCCCTGTGGGATCGTTACCTGTTGGGATGGCCCCCAACCCCTCGGACAGGGTCTGCTAACCCAGCAGGAGCCTGGGGAATTTGAACACCAGCTGGACCATCTCTGCCAGCTGCCCTGCCAACTCCAGGGCCTCCTGCAGCTCCAGAAAGTGGTACCCGAGCAATGCCAGTATCTTCGGGGGGTGGTCGCTCCACAGTCGTGGAAACCAAGTTCTCCCCACACAGTAACACCTGACCCAAAACCCGTTTCTCTTCACGCTCTGCCTGCTTCGCATTCTTTGGCTTGATCTTCCTGAACTCATCACAATCACAGAGGATCAAGTTCATATGCTTGTCAAAAGCCTTGAAGGTGCCAGTGAAGATCTGGCCATCTTGCAGGATACATCTCATCCTATAGTCAATGTGCTGCGGCATCTTGCTGCTCTTTCCCAGAGTCATGATTGCTGCTCCGCCAAATCCAATACCTATAGGAAAGTTTTGGGATCCTTAAGACCTAAGGGAGGGCTGGTTCTTTTCCTCTTGGAATCACTACCCAGGTGTTCCAGTACTGCTTTAACCACCTCTTGGCGTCTCAGCTAAGAATGCCTGTCTCAGTTCCACATGGAATCCCACCACGGGTACTTGCTGCCGCTGCTGAGGCCACCTCAGGTACAGGCGACACTCCTGGTTGCGCAGCGAGGCTGTCCTTCTTCGTTTGACTTGGACTTCCACCTCTGGGATGTGCTGTTCCATGGTCCATCTCAAGTGTAAGCGGTCCCTGGCCCTGCTCCATCGTGCCACTGGCCGCTCCTCAGAACAGAATGTCTCCAGTGCCTGTTCCATTCTGCCTGGGCATCCTTGTTTTGTTCTTGATCTTAGGAGGAAAGCTTTTAGTCCTTTAGCATTAAGTATGATGTTAGCTGTGGGTTTTCCACAAAAGCCCTTTATGAAGTTGAGGAAGTTCTATTATTATTCCTCCCTCTATTTACTCCTCTATTCCCATTTTTCTGAGTGCTTTTATCATGAAAGTGTGTTGGGTTGTATCAAATGCTCTCTGCGTCAAGTGAAATGATGTGGTTTTTCTTCTTTGTTCTAGTAATGTGATATATTACGTTGGTTGATAGTCTTATATTGAACCACCCTTGCATTCCTGAGACAGATACCACTTGGTGGTATATAATCCCTTTACTATGATATTGTATTTGGTTTGCTAGTATTTTGTGAGGATTTTTTTATCTGTATTTGTAAGAGAGATTTTTCTGTAGTATTTTTTTCTTGTGTCTTTGTCTGGCTTTGGTATCAGGGTAATGCTGGCCTCAGAATGAATTAGGAAGTGTTCCCTGTTCCCTCTGCTTTTATTTTCTAGTAAGAGACTGAGGTGGATTGGTATAAATTCTTTAAATAGTTGGTAGAATTCACTAGTGAAACTATCGGGTCCTGGACTTTTCTTTGTTGGGATGTTTTTTGTTTTTTAATATACTTTATTTTTTAGAGCAGTTTTAGGTTCACAGCAAAGTTGAGCAGAAAGTACAGAGAGTTCCCATATATCCCTTGCTCCCTCCGTCCCTAAAACCTTCCCCAGTATCAACATCCCTCACCAAAGTGGTACATTTGTGGCAATCAATGAACCTACATTGACACATCATCACCCAACATCCATAGCTCACGTTAGGATTCACTCTTGGTGTTGAGAGGTTTTTGATTACTGATTTAACCTCTTGTTATAGGCTTGTTCATATTTCCTATTTCTCGAGTCAGTTTTGGTAAATTGTGTTTCTATGAGCTTGTCCATTTCATTCAGATTATTTAATTTGTTGGTGTATACTTGTTCCTTTATTTAAATGAGGTTCGTAATAATGTCCTACTCTCATTTCTGAGTTTAGGTATTTGCATCTTCAGTTTTTCATAGTCTGGCTACAGGTTTGTCAATTTTGTGGATCTTTTCAAAGAACCAGCTTTTGATTTCCTTGATTCTCTGTTTTTCTATTTTATCTCCACCCTAACTTCAATTGTCTTCCTTCTGCTAGTTTTGGGTTGTTTGCTCTTCTTTTTCTAGTTCCTTAAGGTGTAATGTTAGGTTGTTGATATATGAACTCTTTTTTTGTTGTTTAGCTGTTATTATTGACACTCTTAAAGCAACAGTTGCAGAGGTGTGCCACTAGTTTGTGGTTATGAGTGTATGTATATAATTTTTTAAAGTTTTTTTTATTGTGGTAAAATATATATTACCTAATTTATGATTTTGACCATTTTTTAAAATGTAAAATTCAGTGTCATTAAGTACATTCATATGTTGTGCAACCATCACCACTATCCATCTCCATAAATTTTCAACAGTCCAAACTGAAACTCTGTACCTAATAAACAAAACTCTCCATTCTGCTTTCCCTTAACCCTGGGTAACCACTATTCCACTTTCTGTCTCTATGAATTTGATTATTTCAGGTATGTCAAATAAGTGGAATCATATACTATTTGCCCTTTTGTGTCTGATTTATCTAGTGTAGTGTCTTAAAGATTCATCTGTGCTGTAGCATATCAGAATTTACTCCTCCTTAAGGCTGAATAATATTCCATTGCATGTATATACCGCATTTTATCTATTCATCCATCAAAGGACATGTGAATTACAACTTTTTGGCTACTGTGAATGCTGCTGCTATGAACATTGGTATACAAATATCCTTTTGAGTCCCTGCTTTCAATTCTTTTGGGTATCTACCTAGAGTTGTAATTGTTGGATCATTTGGCAATTGTGTGTGTAATTGTTTGAGGAACTTCCATACTGTCCTCAATAATGGCTGCACCATTTTACATTCCCACCAGCAATGCACAAGGGTTCCAGTTTCTCCACATCTTTGCCAACGCTTGTTATTTTGCTTTACTGGTAATAGCCATCCTAATGGATATGAAGTGATATCAGTTTGCATTTCCCTAATGATTAGTGATGTTGAGCATCTTTTGATGTGCTTATTGGCCATTCGTATATCTTTTTGTGGAGAAATGTCTATTCCTTTGCCCATTTTGTAACTGGATTGTTTTTTGGTTGTTGAGTCGTAGCCCTTTATTTATTCTGGACATTAGACCCTTAAAAGATACATGATTTGCAAATATTTTTCTCCATTTTATAGGATGCCTTTTCATTCTGTTATTTCTTTTGCTGTGCAGTTTTAATTTTGATGAGGTTTATCTATTTTTTTCTTTTGTTGCCTGTACTTCTGGTGTCATAGTCAAGAAATCATTGCCAAATCCACTGTCATGGAGCGTTTCCTCTATGTTTTTTTTTTTTTTTACATCTTTATTAGAGTATAATTGCTTTACAATGGTGTGTTAGTTTCTGCTTTATAACAAAGTGAATCAGTTATACATATACATATGTTCCCATATCTCTTCCCTCTTGTGTCTCCCTCCCTCCCACCCTCCCTATCCTATGTTTTATACTAAGTAAACCTAAAGGAAAGGCTGAAGAATCAGTTGTAAATAGTATAAGCTAGATGAAGACTTGAATTGAAGCACATCATTCTGGGGGAAAGATAAATAAATATTCACACTAAAGAAGGCAGAGAAATTTATTGCCACTTGAAACTATAACTCAGATGAATCAGACCAAAACAAAACAAAACCATTAAGTTGACATTAAAACATATTGTTATTTGATCATATTTGTCTTTTGAGGATTTCTTTACTGATAGGCACTTCTGCAACCAGTTAGGGTAATTTGGTATAAACATTTTGTGGACATTTTTAAAGGTATATAAAAGGATGTTTGATGATAGCCGGTCATAAGTAAATAATAATATATATGACATAAAAATTGATGAATTGCATTTTTGAGTTTGAACAATGTTCTAGAAAGATCCTACTTTTTTTTTTTTTGCGGTACGCGGGCCTCTCACTGCTGCAGCCTCTCCCATTGCAGAGCACAGGCTCCGGACGTGCAGGCTCAGCGGCCATGGCTCACGGGCCCAGCCGCAACATGGCATGCAGGATCCTCCCGGACCGGGGCACAAACCCGTGTCCCCTGCACTGGCAGGCGGACTCTCAACCACTGCACCACCAGGGAAGCCCGAAGATCCTACTTTCTCTGCCATATTTCATAAGTATCAAATTGGATACTCCTGTTGTGCTGCAATTGTCAAAATGAGCTTAATAGTTAGAATGTTTCTTCTGTATATCAAGTTGCATCCATTCAAAATATGGAATCCCCTGCACAAAACCAAAATGAGAACATGTTTTGCTCAAGCATTTGTTAATATGGCTGTAAAATATTTAAAAGTTTCCTAACATATAGCATTTATTTTGAAAGTAGTCCCTTCACCCACAGTATTTCCATAAGACTCTTTTGTAGCCCCTAAAAATCACCAAAAAGGGAAAGGACTCCTACCCCACTCCCTCCCCGA